CAAGCTTCAAAAAATGGTCACACCCTGAAAAGACTGGATAGAAAGTACCTACTTTAGGCACTCTAGATAGCCATGAAAGACTGGATAGATTACAAAAAGCAATCAGCCAACACAAGAAAAACACTAAAACAAAAAAAAGAGCAAGCCTTTCGTGAGTTTGTTAGTACTCTAAACGGACAAACAGATCCCAAACACCTGTGGAACACAATTAAAAGATTCAACTCTAGGTGGACCAGCACCACCAACCAAATACCCAACACCGAGCAGGAGACAGCAGCCGCAATTAAAATCAGCCCTACATGGGTTCCACTAAACACACCAAACATTCAACCTAACAACCCGCACCAATTCTTAGACCAACACTTCAACTACACTGAAATATTAGCAGCAATAGAACAAAGCAAATCCAACTCCACACCTGGACCGGACAACATAGACTACCTAATGATCAAAAACCTACCAGACAAATACAAATTAATATTAACAGACACCTTCAACGAGTTGTACAGCTCACAACAAGTCCTAAACACATAGAAGGAAACACAAGTCCTACTAATACCAAAAAATAACAGCAGAAATCTGTGGCCAATAACGTCTTGTATAAGCAAACTATTCGAAAGAATGGTTAAAAACAGGCTACGGTGGTGGTGCGAATACAATCAACTCATTCCAAAATCACAATCCGGATACAGACAGGGGAGATCCTGCACAGACAACATCGGAATCCTCGTCACAATAGCAGACACAGGACATAAAACCAAAGAACACACAATGGCCGTTTTCATTGACATCGAGAGAGCTTTCGACAACACACAAACATAATCTATTAACAACCACACTACAAAAAACAGGTATTACTGGCAACACACTACACTTCATAACCAACTGGATACAAGACAGAACTGCACACTTCATAGGCAGCACACACCTAGAAGCAAACTACAACAACCGCAAAATAAATAAAGGAGTACCACAAGGAGCGGTACTCAGCCCACTTCTCTTCAACTTATACATAGCCAACATTGACGACAACCTAGGCGAGAACGTAACCACAACAATATACGCTGATGACATCGCAATAATAGTACAACACACAAATCCCCAAATAGCTAACAAAATACTAGAACAATCAGTCAAAACAATACAGGAAAATCTACGAAAG